TCTGTCATATTTCTCAAAGATTACAATCACGTTAAAATGCATGAATAAAAAAATAACTCAGATACAAAGTTTCTTTTGTATTTCTTTTTAATTCATAGTAAAGGGAAAATTTAGTTTATATTCAGCTAAAATAAAAAAATTACTAATCTCTCTCTAAAAATATCTCTCTAAAGCTTTCTCCCTTATCTTCTTCTTCAAGATTTGATTTGCTCTCCGACTGATGTGCGTGGGCTACTAAAGCCACGACATCGGTCGGTTTGTGTTTAATTATGTGTAGTTTTTCCTTTGTATTTGTTTAGTGATGTAGATCTGTTAGCTTTGGGTCCTCGGAAACTCAGATCTATGGCGGTTTTAACAGATCTGGAGGTGGTGGGTTCGCGATCGACGGCTCGGATTCTATCAATGACGCGTTCCTGGGCGTGTTGGTTTGTGGCTTCAAGGACCCGGTTTGGTTTTGTTTACTTCTCGCTAGTTTCCGGATCTGTTGATTTGGTTTGAAAAGATGCAGGTTGTGGTGTTGCTTTGTTCTGGAGGAGTACTTGTCTTGGGTTTTGGAGCATCGGGGCGGTGACAGCTGAGTTGTCATTATTTTCTGCTATTGGGCAGATTTGTCCGGCTCATCCCTAGGAAAGGAGCTTCGGCTCAATCGAAGCATAGTGCCGTAGGAAGTCGTTTGCAAAAATCAGTTTCTTCGTCTTCTTGGTTAGTTCTTAAGCGCGTGTAGCTCGTGGCTCTACGGATGGTTCTAACCGCAATAACTTCGGCTACTAGTTACTCATGTACTCTTTCTCCTCCAAAGTATAGTTTACTTGACCTTCGTGTTTTTATTGCCATGTTATATATTTTGTGCTTTTTTGTATCCTAACTACTGGTTTTATGGATTATGTTTAGTATCTTAAGAAATCTTTGTAATCTTCTAGTTATTGGCTCTGGATGTTCTTCGGAACTTGCCGACTTTTCGCTCCGAAAGTATTTTCGAGTATTCTGTCTTTGGGATCGGAAAAAATGTGTTCCTTACCGATATGTAATTTCGGTTACAAATTTAATCAAATCTTTCGGATGCCAAAAAAAAATATTCAGCTACAATAAAACAAGAAAGTCACTTGTAGTATATCTTAATTTGAAACACCAATATCTAGAAACAAGACTTTTGAGTTAGTCAATAACATAGTCAAGCCGCCCCTACCAGTCCATCATTTTAAATTTTATAAAATGATGATTGTATAGATAACTTCAA